ATGTCACTTTATTGGAGAGTTTAAGCCATTAATGTTTAGAGTTACTATTGATATATGGTTTGTACTTCCAGCCATGTTTGATTATTTATCTTCTTTTTTTTTTTTTAATTTAGTTTGTTTCTCCATGGTTAGCTCTCCCCCCGCCCTCTGTCTTTATAGAGGCACTTCCCACTGATGGTTTTGGTTATTGTTTTTCATTTCTTCCTCGTGTAGTGTTTTGCTCAAGATGCTTTGCAATGCTGGTTTTCTGGCTGCAAATTCTTTTAGCTTTTGTTTATCATGAAAGATTTTTATTTCGTTATCGTACCTGAAGCTTAATTTTGCTGGATACAGAATTCTTGGTTGGCATCCATTGTCTTTCAGTGTTTGAAATACATTGTTCCAGGATCTTCTCGCTTTCAGCGTCTGTGATGAAAAATCCGTTGTTAACCTTATTGGTTTACCCCTGAATGTAATCTGCCTCCTTTCTCTTGTAGCTTTTAGTATTTTCTCTTTGTTCTGTATATGGATATCTTCATAACAATGTGTCTTGGCGTTGGTCTACTGTGATTTTGTGTGCTCGGTGTCCTGTATGCATCTACAATTTGTATATCCGTTTCCTTTTTTATTTCTGGAAAGTTTTCTGTAATTATTTCTTTCAGCAGGTTACTCATTCCCTTGGTTTGAATCTCTGTACCTTCTTCTATCCCGATGACTCGTAGGTTTGGTTTCTTTATGTTATCCCATATCTCTTGGATGTTTTTCTCGTGATTTTTTACCAGCCTTTCTGAGTTGGCTAGGCTCTTTTCAAGATGATATATTTTGTCTTCATTATCTGATGTTCTGGCTTCTACTTGCTCCACTCTGTTAGTGATACTCTCAATTGAGTTTTTAATTTGGTTTATCGTTTCCTTCATTTCTAGAATTATTGTTTGGTTTTTTTTTATAATCTCAATCTCCTGATAAAGATGCTTAACTTCTTCTTTTATCTGTCTATGTAATTCATTTTCAAAGTGTTCTTTCACTGTTTGGATTTGCTGTCTCGTATCTTCTTTAAGGTTCCATTCCATCTGTCTAAGGTATTCCTTGAGTTCTTTATATGACCATTTTTCTGCTGACTCTAGGTCCTCCTGAATATTTAGGTTGTCCTTCATTGTTTGTACTCCTTTTCTTCCTTGCTTTTTTATGCTGCTCATGTTACTTCTTGTTCTGTTTGACTGCCGAGTTACTGTTTACTCTTATAGATTTATTTGATGCTTGAGAGGAAAGATATTAGAAGGGAAGGGAAGAAGTCACTAAAGAGAATGAGAGTAGGCAGGTAGAATTCAAGGAAGGGGGAATAAGAAGATTGAAAAGAAATGAAAAGACAAAAGAAACAAGAATAACAAAGATTAGATAATAAAGAAAGAAAGAAAAGACGAACAAAAAATTTTAACAAAAATAATAGTGATAATAAAAAATGAAAATTAAAATTAAAATAATAATAATAAAATAAAAAAATTAAAAAAATAGAAACATTGAAAAAAAAATTAAAGAACAACAACAAATAAAAATTGAAAATGAAAGAAAAAGAAGAAAAAAAAAAAAAAAAAAAGAAAAGAAAAGAAAAAAATGATAATAATAATAATAATAAATGCAGTCCTAGCGTTCTATTAACTTCTCTTCCAGTAGGTGGAGCTGTGCCCACTGGGCCAAGCTTCTCCTCTCAATAGGTGGGAACCATTCACTGTGCAGCAGCTCTTTCTCCTAGACTGGGCGGGTCTCCAATCCTGAGTCTCTAGGGCCTTGTCTTGTGTTTCCTCAAGCCAGGCCGTGCTCACCTGTGGCGCTCACCACAATACTGGCTACACGCCAGGTCTGCTGCTCCTGGGAGCCCTGTTTTCATGAACACCTGGGCTCACTCTCCCTGTTTGCCTCCCTCAGACCCTAAGTTTGTAGAGCTTGGGGCTGAGATCCCCCAGCGAATTTGCTTGCCCTCCTGTAGCCACGCCCCCGGTAGCTGGTGCAAGAGACCTCAGTTGTCAGCACTGGTGGGAGCGGTAGCCGGGAGTTCCGCGCCGCGAGTCCCGCGCCACTCCTGATTCCCTCGGTCTGGTTATTGCGTTCACAGGAGAGCTGGGAGTGGCCCTTAAGGTTTCCCCGCTGTGTGGAGAGAGATGGCTAGGGGATTACACACCTGTCGCGCTGGTTTCAATGCAGTTATCTCCTCCGCCCGTGACGCCATTTCTCTGCCATGGTGATATCCCATGCAAATGGTGACCGTTCGTTCCCTTTGCCGGATGACCAATGCAACGGGTGGGTCCTGACTGTCTCTCCCAATCCCCGTTTCAGTCCTGTGGCCACTGCCTATGAAGGCTCGGTTGGCTTTTACCTCTGTAAGTTCCTAAGGGCCGGCCAATTATTTCAGCGGGATCGTTAGTGCTGAGTCACACGAAGCAGGCGAACCGGAGCTTAATTGCCTCCGATTCGGGCTCTGTGTGTGTGTTCTGAGGGGCCCAGCCTGTACACCCCAGATCCACGTCAGCTCAGCATTGCCTAGTGATCCTGAGCAAACAGCATTTAGACAGTTTACGGCTCCCTATGCCCGCGCAGTTGAAGATGTCAGAGACTTGATCTCTCTGTGCCTGCCACCATGTTACATCTCCTCAGTAATATTCATGTTGCCCTTACAGCTTCCTGGTATAAGCAAGTTCTTGGGATTATACAAACTGCTGCTTCTGTTTCCAGACCAGATTTCTAGAAATGAAACTCTGGGCCGCACTGACGAGCGTCCGCGCTTGTCTGCGACCGTAGCAGAGCCGCCCTGGCCTCCGCAGCTCTTCAGCCCGGTGCCAGGCCCCAGGGGCCCAAGCGGCTGCCGCCGCGGCTCTCCGTCCCCCTCCTCCGGAGCACGGGTCCCCTGGCAGGGGGGTGCAGAACGACCCCAGAGCAGGCTCTGCCCGAAGGTGCAGCAGCGAACAGGCCACAGAGACGCTCGAGGCTGCAGTCCAGCCTTCGGAGGACAGGGCTCGGCACGCAGCCCAGCTCCAACCTCTAGGTCCGGCTGCCGGACAGTGTATACAGAGCCATCAAGACAGCAAGCAGAAAGCAAATGGCGGCTCCCGCGGAGTGGATTTTCGGCACAGAAACCACAGCCCCGCCAGCAATCCCAATCCACAAACTCTCCCTGTATAAAAAATATTCAAAAAAAAAAGAGAAAAAAAAAAAAAAAGGCGGGGCGCACTGAGCTTTCTTTGCCTCGGGTACTTACAATCCACTGCTGATTACACATTCAGCTTCTCCGCCCGGATCGAAGCGAAAGAGGAAGCAGATCTTGTTTTTATGCTTGTGAACACAATATTCATTCTACAACCCTTGGATCAAGAAATAAATTCAATGTACATGTATTGTTTAAGGATCATGAAACATAGCTGCCATATATAGTGATTCATCTGATGCATCTGGGCAAAGTACATTTAAATCTTTCTGGAAAGGATTCACCAGCCTACATGCCATTAAGAACATTTATGATTCCTGAGAAAAGGTCAAAATATAAACATTAACACGAGTTTGGAAGAAGTTGACTCCCACCCTCATTAATGACTTTGAGGAGTTCAAGACTTCAGTAGAGAAAGTAGCTGATGCAATGGAAGGACTTTAATTAGAAAGGAGTGTGAAGATATGGCTGAATTGCTGCAATCTTACTACAAAAATTTCATTAGGTTAGGAGTTGCTTCTTAATGATACGTGAAGAAAGTGGCTTCTTGAGATGGAATTGGCTTCTGGTGAAGAAGCTTTGAAAGAGCCAGGCATGATGGCAGTCACTTGTAATCCCAGCGTCTCAGAGGGTGAGGCAGGAGGACTGGGAGTTCACAGCCAGCCTTAGTAAAGTGGCAAGGTCCTAAGCAACTTAGTGAGACCCTTTCTCTAAATAAAAAAATATAAAACAGGCTGTGGATGTGGCTCAGTGGTTAAATATCCCTGCCTTCAATCCTCTGCATCAAAAAAAAAAAAAAAAAAGTCGTGAAAGGACTTGAAAGATAACACATTAACTGAGCTGGTAGGTTTTGAGAGAGTTGACTTCAGTTTTGAATTTCTACTGTGGGTAAAATGCTATCAAACAGGTTGCATACTATAGAGAAATCTTCAGCAAAGAATCAATTGATGTGGTAAACTTCACTGTGGACTTATTTTAAGAAATTGCTACAGATGCTACAGCCATCTACTGCCACCACCCTGATAAGTCAGCAGCCATCAACATCAAGGCATGATGCTTCACCAGCAAAAAAAAAAAAAAAAATTATGATTTCTTAAAGGTTCAAGTGATTTTTAGCAATTTCTTAGCAATCAAATACTTTTTTACTCAAGTATTGCCCAGATGTTTTCAAGTATTACATTAGATATAATGCTATTGCACAGTAAATAGACTACAGTTTAGTATAAGCATAACCTTTATATTTACTGCAAAAAAGACTTCATGTGACTTGATTTATTAAATTATTTGTTTTGTTGCAGTAATCTAGAAGCAAACCACAATACCTATGAGGTATGCTGGTATAAAAAAGATCATCAGCAAATACTGTACCATCAAAAAGATGAAAGTGTGATTCACATTTACTGTCTCTTTAATCTTCCTTATGACAACAGAGGTGGGTCACTGTTCCTGACAATCTGATAAGGAGCTAGAGAGGATGTGACTCATCAAACTTTATTTGATGGAGTTATGACAAACTAAATTCAATGTTAGCCTTATTCCCTCCCCACCTCAAAGTAGCTATGACCCATGATTCCCATGTAGACAGATCAATCTCTCGTCATCAAGAAGCCATCATTGCTATCTTCTGGGAGGTTTTGGAATCCAAAGAGGAATCTTAATAGCCTAAAGGAGAGTGTGAGGTGTCATTCTGAGGATTATTCATGGGGAAGAAGAGTGTGGTCATCTGTGGGGAGGTTCTTGGTCTGTGTTTGGGGATGTGGGGATCCTTTGAAAAAAGGCTTCTCTTCTGACCTCTGAGATGATTATGGGAGTCACATTTTCATTCTTATGGCTTACACATGATAAATGGCCTCAATAAACCTTTAAACTGAGTTGCCATGGTATAAATGAAGGACTGATTATTTACATTGAAAAAAGAGATGGTCCCACCCTCATAGTCTAGGAAGATACCCACTATTGTAAAGGGCATACAAAAGATACTGATTCTGTGGGTATTTAATGTAAAATGCTCATATTTACACTGTCCAAGGATCCAGATTCCATTTGGGGCAGACAAATTTAAGTCCTTTGCCTTCCTGGATTCATTATCCTGACATATCCCCATGAACCAATTTTCATTGTGTCCTACATCAACTTCCCAGTAGCACTTCCCTGTCTGAAAACACTGAGAAGCTACCACACATTTCCTCCTAAATCTCTTCTCTGTGAAAGGCACCTCCTGGGACATTTTCTTATATGTTACAGCTTTCAGATCAGAAATGTAGAGCTGTGGGTGAGCTGTGTCTGGGTCCAGAGTCACCTCCACTGTGATACAGGGGAGAGATAGAAAGAACACCTGTTAGTGGGGAGGTGACCTGAGCTAGTCCCAGAACTCACTTGCTTTCACTGCAGATTAGGTCAGGGTGGGTTCAGGGGAGGTGTCAGAGCCAGACTCCCTATTGGACATTGCCCCTCCTTGTCTGAACCCGCTGACAATCTGTAATTCCTGTTACAGCAGAGATGCTTAAAGAAAGACACACGCACACACACACACACACACACACACATCCAGTAGAAATGAGCACCGTCTTTACTTTTTTCTCTCCTTCTTTTATACAGCATTGTTAATTAAAACAAGGGAAGGGCTGGGGATGTGGCTCAAGCGGTAGTGTGCTCGCCTGGCATGCGTGTGGCCCGGGTTCAATCCTCAGCACCACACACAAAAACAAAGATGTTGTGTCCGCTGAAAACTAAAAAATAAATACTAAAATTCTCTCTCTCTCTCTCTCTCTCTCTCTCTCTTTAAAAAAAATAATAAAACCAGGGAAAAGAAAAAACATCCTTTCAGCAGCTTAATCCTTACAAGCATCGGTAAACATTCTCAGGAAAACTTTGTTTATGGTCACAGTGCTCCATATTTCTTATCAATTAACTTATTCCCAGGCAAACACACACACACACATATATAAATTTTACACTTGGCAGAACATTCTTTTCTCTTATCTTCTTAAGAAAGCAACAAGGACACAGTTCAAAGAGTTTATACTTTCTCACAGAACTCCTTGTTTTGCTAAGCACAGCAAAACTTAACTGTTTGTGTGTGTGAACACACACCTCCTGCCCTTTCCTCCTTCACAGTGAAGCCTCTGTGCATTTTCAATGCTTGGCAAGCCCTAGCAGTGAGTTGGTGACTCCTGAATTTCACCCCATTTCTACCACTGTCTCTCCATACATGCCCATTATTTAACTTAGCGAGACTTTTTGTAACCCCACTATTCAGCTTCCTTCCATATATTAGTTTCTGTGTAACTTTTATTTCTTTCCCCACCACCCAGACCCCAGGTCAGTCACTAGTGCCCTAAATTATCTGTAACTCTGCCTTTGACTGTCACCCTGGCTGCATCAGCCCCTGCATTATTTCTTCATAAACCTGAGCTGAGAAGTATGTCTATGGGAAGCTGCACCCTGTTGTGTATCCAAATTTATTGTCTGCAGTCTAAGTAGCTCCATATATGTCACTAGTCAGCTATCTTTCCCCACCCTCATAGTCTAGGAAGATACCAACTCTTGTAAGGGGTGTACAGGGGAAGATCATTCTTTTATGGGGATTTAATATGAAAAATGTATTATCTTCCTCCTTTTTAAGGACCCAGTATCCCCTTCTGGGAGTTATAAGAAGTATTTTTGCCACCTAGGTGCGTTATCCTGACACACTCCCAAGAAGCAATTGTCACTGTATTCCACATCTACTTACAAATAATGTTTCCCTGAATGGAAACCCTTAGAAACTTTCTCTTAGATCTCTTCTCTGTGTAGGGCACATTTTGGAAAGCTTTCTTATATGTTATGTTTTTCTGATCAGACATATAGAGCTGTGGTTGAGCTGTATCTGGGTCCAGAGTCACCTCCACTGTGATATGGCTGAGCAAAGAAATATAAGTTAGTGGGAAGAAGACTCCTCTCACTGTAGATTGGTTCAGAGTAGGTTCAGGTGAGGACCCAGAACCAGAATCCCTATTGGCCATTGCCCATCCAGCAATTTCTTCCTCTCCAGTGCAGCCCCCAATATTACCTCCTAATTCTATTTTTGCCCTTCCCTATAAGCGTCTTATTTATCTTTGTGAAATCTCAAATAAATCCACTATTCAGTTCTCCCCTCACCATTTCCTGGCCCTAACTCAATTCTTTCTCCTGCTGCCTGGAATCTTGTCTATTCATCAATTACATCAATTCTCAATTCTTTTCTTTGCCTGAAAACTTCAAATTATGTCCCAATTCCTGCCCTCTCCCCTCCTCCACCTCTGTTTGAAGCTCACCTGGGGAAAGCTGCACTTTAACATGCATTGCAGCATCACAGATTAATCATCAGCAGATTGGGTGGGCTGGATATCTGACACCTGCTATACCCACTTGAGACTGAACTGTGACCAGCCCCCTATGGCATTGTTACCTGTATGTTTCTGGTATTTTCTCAATGCTGAAATCAGAATATATAAGTCAGTGATTACATGGAGAGCATGAAACAAGAGAAGGAGGAGCAACCAAGGGTGATCAACATTTATGGGCATCATGGGATCACCTGAGATCCAATGAAGGCTAAGGGCTTTACTACTAAAGGTACTCCTTTTATATTAGTACACAATTTCAAGTTCCCCTTCACAAATTTGGCTCTGTGGGTTCTGATGAGCCTCGGGTTATGTGAATTTATAAGCTAGGGACTTGGAAGGAAAAGATGATTAGGGAAATGAGGGAGGACAGTAACAGCTTCTCTCATCTACCTGTGATTACTTCCTTCTTTGTTCTGGAAACAAAAAAGAGGAGAGGATGAAATTATAAAACAGGAATGAAGGGATAGTGTGGATGGAAGTCTCAGTATCTGGTGACATTCTTAGCTATTTTCCTGAAGTTTTTGTAACATAAAAATCAGTGTATTCCATGGTCAATGAAAGCCTGTATAAAGACTCAAAAGCAGCAGGCCAGAGGAAATTGGGGTTTCTTTGCCATTCTGAGTTTGCATATCCTAGACAGCTCATGAAATCTACAGTTTCTCTCTGTAAAAAATGTACCAACATTTTAAAAAATTGGGCATTTTCCGACTCTGATGTACAGCTGTATGTATGATGAATGTCTCCGAAAAACAGTTGCATAGACTCTTAGATATATATCCCCATATACCTAACAGACAAATTTGTTAATGGATGGAGAGGGAAGTTGCTGCACAGCCTTGTCTTTCACATGCTTCCTTTCCAGACCAGAGCAAAGACAACGCAGACAGCTCAAACTATGGAACATAGAGGGACTTAGGAGAACAGTATACAGAAGGCTCAGAGCATGACAAGACACTTACCCAATTCTGCCAATATTTTCCCCAAAACAAAATTCAAAAGTGTGTAATGTATAAACAGAACTTTGGCTCCTTGCTTAATTGGGAAGATCTGTGAGCTGAAGTATAAGATTCTCCTAGAACTTTCCCATTGTGCCACTACCCACCATCCCTTCCCTGAATTTCTCTACCTGGAATATATCAAGAAGACAGCTGGAAGAGGGAAGTGGGATTATGGCAGAGAGCAGTATCACCCCTAAAGAGGAAGAATTGATTCTTATGGCTTAAATTTTATTGAGGCTGAATATTCTTTTATTTCATCAATCTCTTTATCCATATATATGGATAAAGAAGTATTTTTGACATTGAAATTTTTATTAGAGTCTTTCTGATATTCTTAAAAATTTGTATAAGCTTTAGAATAATGAAAATCATTCATCCTTTTATTTTTGTGCCTACTAAAGGAAGGGTCTGTTAGTGGCTGGCATTTTCCCAGGGAGCCATTGTCAGCCAGCCTGGGGGAAAATGAGGAATGTGGTCCCGGTGGCCCAAGTGATGGGTTTCTGAAGCCTGTAGATGGAAGAGCAGACTTGGTGGCACACAGGAGCATCCCTGGAACCATAAATAAAAGCTAAAGGCCCATGATTTTATCCTTCACTTACTTTTGGGAAAAGATATCCTCATTGCAATAATCCCAACACTTAAAATAGAGTAATCCCAATAAAATGAAAACCAGGCGCCAAGGTGAAGGTTGGAAAAATGTCTCTGAAAAACAGTTGCATAGACTCTTTAATAACTTCCGAACAATGAACGCAGTTTGATTCACTTTAAGGAATAGTATCATACCCTAAGATTAAAAGAACATTTTCCTATAATTACTTCCATAGTTCCAAAATATTGCATTTCTATATAAGTCTTGATCTATCTGAAGTCTTATTATATACACTATAATTGAGGTTTAATTTTCTTCTAAATGAATAAAACTATAACAGCATCATTTATTGAAAACATATTTCTTTACATAATTATTTCACATAATTTCAATTATATATACATCAAGCTCCTGCTTAGGCTTGGATTCATTTTGAAGTTCTATGTTATATGCCATTGACCCACTTCTCTATCCATGGCAATTATTGAGATTGCCTTAATCATCAACAGCCCTGGGATACATCTTGGTATAAACTAGCCCAAGTTTCTTAATTTGATCATTCCTCACTGTGTCTGGCAATTTTTTTTTTAGTACTGGGGCATGAACTCAACCATGAGCCCCTTCCCCAGCCCTATGTTGTATTTTATTTAGAGGCAGGATCTCACTCAGTTACTTAGTACCTCACTTTTTCCCAAGGCTGGCTTTGAACTCATGATCCTCCTGCCTCAGCCTCTGGAGACACTGGGATTACAGGTGTGTTCCACCATGCCCGGCATGTTTGGCAATTCTTAACCATGTGTTCCACCACTTATGTTGTAGCACTATTCACAATAGCCAAGAAATTAAGTTAATGTAAATGATAAATGGATAAAGAAAATGTGATATATACATATATGCGGACAAAGAAAATGTGGTATATATATATTATATTATACACAAATACACATGATGGAACACTATTCAACCATTAAAAATGAAATATTGGTATTTGCAAGCACATCAAAGGGAGTGGAAAACATTATACTGAGTGAAATAAGCCAGGTATAAAAAGGAAAATATTTCAAGCTCCCACTTGTGTGTAGAATGCCAAACAGTTGTTCTTCTGCATTGAGATTTATGCAATTTAATGGACCAGGTATCTCTAACAATTTTATGAAGTGGCTTTCTCCAGAAGATGTGTCTTGGGGTGTTGTTAGTTGTATATGTAATACTGACTTGGATTCCAGCTGGGCCCCATAGTGTTGTCTCCCTATAGTTTCTTTGGTTGTAAATAATGACTTCAGATGCAGTGCAAACTGTATCAGAGTCACAAAGACCTATTGTTTCTGTATGTTACATGAAAGTGGGAGCACTTCAGGCAGGTATGGTGTAGACAGTGATGGTTTTGGGGAGCTATGCAACTACTTCTGAGAATGGGGACCTCCATTAGGTGCTATCTCTGCCATTAGCAAGGACCTCTTGCATTGGCAGCCACAGTGATGGTAAGGGGACTGAGGCACTTGTCCTCCGACCAGTCAGTGGTGCGAGCCCTATGTTACATGGGAAGACATAGTGGCAGAAACTGCAGCACCCACTGTGGCACTTGCACTCAGGCCTGACAGCAGCATGTGGCCGGGCAAGGTAGATGGGCATGGTGGTGGTGCAAACTGTGTAGGTGGGATGGCAGCAAGAACCATGGTGTTTCTCCCTGCTAGTGTCAAGGCATCCCCAGGAACAGGAAAGAAGCTGACACCAGACATAGTTCCCCTGGACCTTCTTTGGCTGAGTAACTTAGGAGTGGGTCAATGGCTGGAGAAGAGGCTTCTCTATCACAACTCCTTCAGCTGGAGCATGCATATTGGGGATGGGTTGACACCCAGAGTTGCTTAAGACCTCCTCAGTATGTGCCTATGGATAGGGCAGAATTGGGAACCATGGTTTACTTCCCACCCTCCCAGTAATAAGTATGATCCCAGTACAGGGGAAAGGGTAGAAAAACCTCCTGGAAATATGCCATCAGTACTGGCACTCACATGAGTTCACAGGTGGCTAGTCATAACCTTGACGTCAGAGGAAAAGTGTCCTGATATCATTGAAAGAGCACACAAGAAATATGAAAAACAAAGGTGCTTCTAAAAGAACAAAATAACTCTCCAGCAGCAGATTATAAAGAAATTGGTATGAATGAAATACATAATAAAGAACAAAAAGAATGGTTTCTAAAACAGCTCAATGAGACCCAAGAGGATATATATAAGCAGTTAAATAAAATAAGGAATGCAATGCAGGATATAAATGAGAAATTCAGCAAAGAAATAGCATATTTTAAAAGAACCAAACAGAAATCTTTCAAAAGAAGAGTCAATAAGCTAGGTGTGGTGACTCATGCTTGTAATCTATTATATTATACACAATTACATATGATGGAACACTATGGGAGGCTGAGGCAGGAAAATTGCAAGTATGAGGCCAGCTTCAGCAATTTAGTAAGAACCTCAGCAATTTAGTGAGACCTTGTCTCAAAATGAACAGGAGAAAGGGAGACACCTAAAGTTGGCAAATTCAAGTGAGATTGGTCATCCCTAATCTCTACATAGCACAGAAAGAAGGCAGTGAAGGAACAGCTGACCAGTGAAGCAGGTGACACAGTTCATGACCTAAGATCCAATATTAGACAGTCTGAGACCTGGAGAAACTTGGCATTCAGTTACTGGAGCAGAAAATAAAGACAGAGTTTCTTAATTCCAAATTTGGACCAGAAGGAGGAAGGAGAAAAGCAATAGAGAGAAAAAGAGGGAGAGATAAATATAAACTCACTCCCTTAACAATATACAGAGAAAAAAAAGCAAAACAAATTAAAATGCAGCTGGAGCAATGGATCAATGGATCGTTGAAGGACATCAAGCAGTTTAACCGAAGTCATGGACAGAAAGCATGACAGTTATTTTGTGAAGCTTACAGCTGGTCAGATACTCAAGAGGAAATTAAATAAATACCTCCCCACTTCCAGATATCAACAAATTCAACCAGAGGGAATATTACTGAAATACAATGTTTCAGTAATATGTCTAGAAGAAACCTGTAGAGGTCTAGCTACTAGCCAAACTTACTGAAGCCCTCTCCTCCTCATGATGAAAAGGGAAGTGGAGTGAAGTATACCTGCACTTGGAAGGCTAGTTTAACCCAGCATTCCACAATAGCCTATGCAGGAGCCTTCAGAGAGAGGAACAAATGACCACTATTCATGGTGGCAGGAAGTAAGGGCTCAGATCCAATTAGACTTGCTATCCAGTCTTAATTCTAGGTAGCAGAGAGAAACAGCATCTGGACTCTTGGCTGCAGTGGAAGTGAGGGGCTGTGGGGGAAGTGGCACCCATGGTTCATAAACCTGGGCACTGGAAGCTAGAATCCAGGTGAACTGGCTTTCTCTTTACCTGGTAGTAGGGACAGTGTTTTGGTGAGCTGTATCAGGCAGGGGGATGCTTCTATACCACAAACCACCCATAGAAAGTCTACAACCACAGGTCCTGTGCTTGCAGACAACCACAAGCCTCTACGCTACTTTGAAAAAGACCATACTAAGGGAAGCAGCAGGTTAAAGCTTACTTGTTATGTACAAGAGAACTACCATAAGACTATTACTGGATTACTCAGTGGAAACCTTGCAGGACGTAAGGGAGTGAAACCATATATTCAGAATTCTGGAGAAGTTAGCAGAGTGAAGCTAGACAGTGATCTATAATCTCTCTCCAACACAGGAAGGAGGCAGTGAAGAAACAACTGACCCGAGATGTGGAAGGCAGAGTAAATGCTTTAAGATCCAATATCACACCATCTGAGACCTGTAAAGATTTGACGTTCAGTTAATGAAATAGAAAATAAAGGCAGAGTTCTCAATCCCTGAACCCAGACAAGGATGGGAGAAGGGAGAGTGGCAACAGAGAGAGAAAGGAGGAAAGGAAAAATCACATAAGCTCACTCCCTTAGCAAGAGCTGAAAAGAAAAGCAGACAAAATTAATATATAACAGAAACAGCAGCGTCATTGAAGGGGATAAAGTAGTTCAAAACCAAATAGTAGAAAGAAAGAACTACCACATTCTGCAGCCATTTTGTGGAGCAGTCCAGTTTCCCTTTAAATCAACAGAGCATCTTCCCACCTCTAGACAGCAAGAAACTGAATGAAGAAGGAATACCCCTGCAGTGAGATCTCTTAAGAAAAAAAAAAAAACTTGTAGATGGATAGCTACTATCCAAAAGTTGCTGGAACCCCGCCCCCCCCCCACACACACACTGAAACAAGGGGTGAGGGATGGAGCAGAGCCACCTCAGCAAATGCTAGTTTAGCCCAGCTCTCCACACAGCCTCTGAAGGAGCCAGGCAGAGACAGAGCCGATGCCCATAAAACATGGTGGTGGGAAGTGAGAACTCAGATCCAGGCAAGAAGGCAGGGTTCATGTACAAACACAAGAATAGGATCCTACTTAGAATAAGTTATACTCCATATATGTATAATATGTCAAAATACACTCTACTGTCATATATATCTGAAAAGAACAAATAAAAAATAAAAATAGGGCTGGCATTGTAGCTCAGTGATGGAGCACTGGCCTCACATGTGTGAGGCACTGGGTTCAATCTTCAGCACCACATAAAAAAATAAACAAGTAAAATAAAGATATTGTGTCCATCTACAACTAAAAAATTTTTAAAAATAAAATAAAATAATAAAATTTTTAAAAAAGAAAATTTCAGACCAATATCTGTGATGAACATAGATGCAAAAAAATCTTAATAAAATATATACAAAATATATTAAAAAGATAATGCACCATGATCAAATGGTGTTCATCCCAGGGATGTAAGCTTGGTTCAACATATGGAAATCAATAAATGTAATTCATCACCAAAGACAAGAATCACATGATTCTCTCAATAGAAGCAGAAAAAGCATTTGACAAAATTCAGCATTCATTCATGCTCAAAACATGGTAGGCCTAGTAGGAACATACCTCAACATTTTAAAAGCTATACATCTTAAAACAAAGGCCAACATCATTCTAAATGGAAAAAAATCAAAAGCATTCCTTCTAAAAAGTAGAACAAGACAGGAATGTCCTCTTTCACCACTCCTAT